ATATGTGAACAAGCACCATAAAAAGCAATGTTTTTTCACGTCATGCGGATTGAAGGCAGTTCAAACCACATCCAATGTGCATATTTGTGAAACGGCACTTAGCCTTTACAACCACTAATGTTATTACATTTTATTCTATAAATATGTAACTATATTAAATTGTGTTTTTATATTGTCCTTGAGTTCATATGTATTTACAGTTTGTTCTTTTTTCAACAATTCTCTGCTGATAGCAGAAACAATTTGTTTGAGGGTATGTTTAGACCTGCCATTTTCAACCAGCGTGCCATTCTAGGCTTTCCTTGAGCAGTGGAAGAATGATATCTGAACTGATAGTGCCTGCACAGGTCAGGGGTCAGCATCACCAGTGGCATAACAATAATGATCTTTTTAGCTGTCTAAAAAAGATGGCATTCTTCCAACTGACTACCAATGTAGGGAACATTTGTCCCAATGACCCCCAATTAAATAATGCATTCTTTCCACTGACCACCAACCACCATATAAAGGACATTCTTTCTTTCATTGCTCATTGATATACGGGGGAGTCTCTCTGTAAGGGGGGCCTTCTCTCTGACCATTAATTTTTGGGGACAGCTTTCACACTGTCCACTAATAAAAGGGGAACATTCATAGAAAACTACAAAATAAAATGAAAAACAAATATCTAAAAAAGACAGACTCCCTTACATTGGTGGTTATAGGAAACTGACCACCAATGTAAGGGAGTCTGTCTTTTTTAGATAATTCTTTTTCATTTTATTTTGTGATTATTTCTGAAAATTATTTCATCATATAGATTAAGGGGTGTTAAAAATGATCCACCTTGGTTGTCATATACTGTAGGTATGCCATTATTTTATTTACTGTTCTATTTTTCTACAAATTACTAATCTTGCTAATGTACTGATAGCTCTAGATATAAATTGTAGCAGAGATCTTCCGAGTCCTGAACATTTTCTAAAGGGCTCCTCAGGGGTAAAAAGTTGAAAAGGCTGGTTTAGGCACAGGGAAACCTTTTATTTATGTTATTTAGTAAAGGAAGAAATTCTTATCTGCCCATTTCTACATGGGAAATAATAATTTGGAACAGCTTTGCCTTTTTCTAAAGCTGTTTGGGCAGTTTATCTTCCCATTGTTGACATATATTAACATAGGTGAGAGTAATCCAGTAAGAGCACCTATTATTCCTAGACACTTGCACTTCTCCCATACAAGAGATAACTCCTGAATTATGCCTCATAATAAAAATTGAGCACTGAGGTTCAGGCAAAGCTGCTGCAACTCTGTCCAGCCTCTCCCTGCATCAGTAGATTACAGCTATAGTGATCTATTGCTGGCTGATTGCCAGAAAAATATATACTTTTGCATTTAATAAATTACACCCCAGGGTCAGACTGACCATTTGGAAACTCGGGCACTGCCCGAGGGGCCCGTGGACAGTAGGGGGCCCCATGAGATGCCCCTGGTACCTTTTTCATAGGCTTTTTTGAGTTTGGACAAGGACACAGGGGCCCATGATCCCCTATTGCCCGGGGGGGGGGGGCCCCATGAGTTGTCAGTCCGCCCCTGTTACACCCATATACATGCAAGTGTAAATGCAAGTACCAGCGATTTCAGGCTATAGCCATGTAACGTATTATATCAATCCAGTCCTATGGACAGGATTAGTACCAGATGGGGCCCCCAAGCACAGCAAACTCAGGCGTATTTTATGCTCTGTGCCCATATGCCTTTTTTATTTCTTCTGTGTGCATAAACCCTAAAGCCAAAACCACTTTTGGGGGGAATAAAGTGGGGAAGGGTTATAATCCCTACTAGCTTTTCATGTTGTCTTTGCACCTGCTGGGGGAGATCCACTCTATTGTCACTGGGACTTACAGCAAACCTTCAATGTAAAACAGTAGGTCTGATTTTTTGCACACCCCTTGTCCCCCAGTGTAAATGGCTTTCAAAAGCCATTTGTAAACCAACACACTGCCTGGAAAAACAATTTCCTCAACCACAGCTTCCGGGAGGCACAGGTCATGTCACCGTGTCTCTATGTTGTCTCCTGGGATACTTGGGCGCTTGAAATCCTGCAAGAATTCACTTTGGCAGTGGACTGGAGTACATTCTAATGATATTTAGAGCTCCAAGCTCTTCAGGAAGGCAAAATCACATCGCTCATGCTTTGATGAAGTCATTTTTTTTTGCAGGTGACCTGGTTGTTTTGGTTTTTTTTTCTTTTACAAATGGCTATTTACAGCCACTTGTGTTGGGGTTCTGCTTTAAAGCGATGGAAACCCCAATCTCTTGAGCTGTCATTGTAAATAGAGAATAGAGGGAACATTCTCAAACTGGGGCATTTCTTCTGGTGGCAGCTTTCTAAGAGGAGATCTCCTTCACTTTGGAAAGATTTCCTCCCAGTTTCTGTGGGATCTACAGGCCAGTGAAGTGAAGTGAGCTGAAGTGCCAATCTGCGGTTTCTAAATCGAGCAAAACCCTCTCTTGTATTAAAAGAGGTATAGACTCCAGAGAGAGAGAGAGAGATCATAATACCCCTGTACAAATCATTAGTAAGACCTCATCTGGAATATGCAGTTCAGTTTTGGGCACCAATTCACAAAAAGAACATTGGGGAACTGGAGAAAGTACAGAGAAGGGCAACCAAACTGATAAGAGGCATGGAGGAGCTCAGCTATGAGGAAAGATTAGAGGAACGGAATGTATTCTCTGAAGGGGTGATATGATCAGCATGTATAAATACATCAGTGGTTCATATAGTGAACTCGGTGTAGAGTTTTTCACCCTGAGGTCATCACAGAGAACAAGGGGGAACTCTTTACATCTGGAGGAAAAGAAATTTAATCTCCAAACACGGAAAGGTTTCTTCACAGTGAGAGCTGTGAAAATGTGGATTAGACTCCCTCAAGAGTTGGTTCTGGCCAGCTCAGTGGATTGCTTCAAAAAAGGCCTGGATTCTTTCTTAGATACACAGAATATAACTGGATACTAACATTTATAGGTAAAGTTGATCCAGGGAATGTCTGATTGCCTCTCAGGGGATCAGGAAGGAATTTCTTTCCCAGCAGGAGCAAATTGGATCATGCTTTGCTGGGTTTTTTTGCCTTCCTCTGGATCAACTGTGGGTATAGGATTATAACTTTTTTTTTTTCTATGGATGGATTTTTGTCTTTTTTAAGCCAGACTAATTATATGTAACTGGGACACAGATGACTCTAAAAAACCTGACCGGGTTTTATCTATTCCCTAGTCTACCCCATAAGAAATATAGCATATATATTTAAATGCTGTGTAAGTTTTTCTCATGTGCACAGTAATTCTAACAGCATGTAAAAAACACACCAGCTAAATGGAAGATGGGGATTGGCCAAGTGTGTCATTTGCTCACTGCAGGAGGTCAGTAGGAGCACTGTACAGCTCAATACATTCAGCATTGTTGGATGTCTGCAATGAAGCAGCATGCCAGCACAATCACGTAACACAACATTTTTTGTCTCCTACAACTTGGCTTTCTGCTTCTATGTGAAGTTTGTGGACAGTTGAAGCAACCTTTCATTATGATATTTCTGTGCAGCCGCAGGCTTCCTGAATGGTGAGTCTATCTTTGTGTGTGGCTTATCTACCGTAAATCTAGGACTGTAGTTTGCAATCTTTTAACTCTTTCCTTGCCGGTTAATATAGCCTTCAGCTCTTACGATAGGTAGAAACCCTGCTCAAGGAAAGCAGTGTAGTAAGTCAGATTCAGTTAGCTGGTGGGATGTGTGTGGGATTATCCTTTACATGTGTTCATTGTAATATGTAGCTGCAGGCTATAATACAAGTCATTGGAAGAGATGGCTTAAAGATGACTCAAAAAGCTTTTGTAAAGAGGAAAAGGACATGGTACTGTCAGAATTATGTCAGGTGTCCTTTTTAATGTGATGTGTGGTTAGTATAACCCGTATTTATCTGCGGTATGGAATTCAGCCTAACGGTTTGTTTATGTAACTAATGTATTCTATTTATAATAGAAAATGTAACATTTTATTATCACATTTACTCTTTGGCAATATTAGGGGGTGGTTTTACAAGTCTGTAAAGTTGACCTTTAAACTTACTTTTTGCCTTTTTTATGTAAATTTCAGTCAAAATTATATTTTATTTTAATTAAATTATACTGAGATCAAATTGTCTGCTAGCTTTTTTTTATCAGATGTATTTATGGCTGAAAGAACCTAAAAGCTGGGAGGTTGAGACGTATTGTGGAACTAAAAGTCTTAGCATGCCATATCAACATTTCCATCTGTCATTGACAACACTGACACCTGCAGGTTCCAAGATGATACTTCATGTCTCACGATTTCGTTCATTGATTTTTTTTTTTTTCGCCGCTGTCTACTAGGGTGCTTATACTAAAACAAACTCATCTAATTGCAAGATAGATACTTTTAAAAAGAAATCTATTAAAGTGTATGTAAAACCTTTACGTTTTGGATAGAGTAGCTAAAGAACATAGAGCATATGCTAACTTTTAATACTGTCTGTGCCCACCCTCTAGGGGGATTCAATGCTGTATCTGCCCTGTGACTATTTTCACCAAGGCAGGAAGTAAGTGGAAGTTTTAAAATTAAAGCTAAAACTTTGAGTTGTTTTGAGAACAAGAGATGAGGGCAAATCTTTCAATAGAGACAAATGATCCAGTGATAGCTGTCAAAGTTGGAAATTGCCCTTTCCTGGAAGATGTTCTCACATTTCCTGTTCCATATGCCAGACAGAAAATTAAGGAAAATCTCCCCAGCAGGGCACAGACAGCAAAAAATAACTTAATAGGGTTTTCAACACTTATCTACTCTATCCACAAAAATGGGCTATACATACAGTACAACCTAAGACATAGTAACTGACTTCATTATCATGTAGCAAATGTGAGCTGAATGGCTTCTGACTAAAGAGTACCTGTTAGCTCAGATGTGTAGAATGTTTGACGTAAAGTGTTACTAAACCCAGGACCCTGCATTCACTATATCTGGTCTCCCACAGTGCACAGAACATGGAAATGCTATTTTTTTTTTTAGTAAATATAAACTGCTAAACACGTTTTCTCATCAGCAGTTGGAGCAGTTTTGTGACTTCTATCAGTGTTCAGCAGCGCACTGGTTAAAGCTTGTAAGAGGAGTTTTCTTTCTGCTCTAGGAGGATGCAGAACCCCTGACCTCTGTCTGGACAATGCTGATTGGCCCTGTGCTAATCACATGCACTCTCCCAAGAAAAAAAAAAACTTCTCTAGCAATACACACCAAATTGAGCATGTGCAGAGTGTCTCCACACAATATGTCTTATCAGGAGATAACAGGGGGACACTGGAAGGAGGGGAGGAGCAGAGAAGACAGGATCAAACAGCATTTGTACACAATGCAGAGGACTAACCCCTTAGTTTACACAGTGAGTATATCAAGCATGCTTTGCTGCATATACAGACTGATTTTACTGTTGTAGGTTTAGTGACACTTTAATGCTCAGTAGGTATGCTCTAAGAAACACTGAGAACTGGTTTAATAAAATGCATGTTTTATGCCAGACTATCAAAGCTTCAGAGTCAGTTCCATCTTCTTAGATGCTGGTTGCAAGAACAATCTTGCTGGGTTGGCCATTATGATACTCAAGACCGTACACTGGACAACACTGTCACACTACAATCACAAGTGTATAGTACATGAAGGGTCTTGCTGGCAGAGCTCAAAAGACTGACATATGCAACACTGAGGGTCCATCAGGCTCAGATACATTATTTGATTTTTGTGTTCATCTCGTCTGGCGAAACAGAGATGAACAAAGTCAACCCTGACTACTTGGAAGTAATCGGGGCATTGCCGTCATGCACTCTGTATTGGATGTGCCTGTCAGATGAAAGGAAAGTTAAATGAGGAGCTGGTCCTTTGCTACATGCATACAAGGCATTTCTGTTTTGATACACCGCAGTGTCCACATAATCTAATCCATGAGAGATCATGGAACTCCTCACAGGTTGTACCATCATTTCTGCTTTTCTGAGATTGAGGCTGTAGTGTGGCTTTTCCTATCCCACTGAAGAGAATGGGCAGTTTGGAGATGTTCTTTATTCGTCTTTAAGTTGGTACTCACTGAGAGCTCCCCTGGGTTCAGTGTGAAGGAGTCCTCTAGAGTGACAATTGGCTGCAAGTGACAATGTTCACTGACACTGTACTCAACAGTGAGCACACCTATTACTGGGTACATATGGGTGCCTCGTTTCCCTCTTTGTAGCTCAGCTCCAAATGCTTGTACACTGACTGATCAGTTCCTATGGTGTGTTAAACCCTGGAAATAACCTCAGCTCTGTATGGTTCACCCTGTTTGACTGGACCTGAACACAAATGGAAACTTGTCATACAGAGAAATCCATGTACATATCCTTTAAACAGCATTACTAAGAAACAATTGGGGAATTTTGTCAAAACTGGAGCAGACATAATATTGAGCAACTGCAGTGGAATAACATCCTTACAGGATGTCTCCAATTTACAAGCCGACCTCAATGCACTGTTTAATTGGGCAACTATGTGGCAAATGAGGTTTAATGTTGATAAATGTAAGGTTATGCAATTGGGGGCTAAGAATATGCATGCATCATACATACTAGGGGGGGGTACAACTGGGGGAATCAATGGTAAAGAAGGATCTGGGGGTTCTGGTAGATCACAAGCTTAATAATGGCATGCAATGCCAACCTGCGGTTTCTAAAGCAAGCAAAATCCTCTCTTGTATTAAAAGAGGTATAGACTCCAGAGAGAGAGATATCATATTACCCCCCCCGTACAAATCATTAGTAAGACCTCATCTGGAATATGCAGTTTAATTTTGGGCACCAATTCACAAAAAAAAAACATTGGGGAACTGGAGAAAGTACAGAGAAGGGCAACCAAACTGGTAAGAGGCATGGAGGAGCTCAGCTATGAGGAAAGATTAGAGGAACTGAATTTATTCTCTATTGAGAAGAGGAGATTAAAGGGGGATATGATCAACTTGTATAAATACATCAGTGGTTCATATAGTAAACTCGGTGTAGAGATATTCACCCTGAGGTCATCACAGAGGACAAGGGACACTCTTTACGTCTGGAGGAAAAGAAATTTAAACTCCAAACATGGAAAGGTTTCTTCACAGTCAGAGCTGTGCAAATGTGGAATAGATTTCCTCAAGAGTTGGTTCTGGCCATCTCAGTGGATTGCTTTAAAAAAAAAGTCCTGGATTCTTTCTTGCATACACAGAACATAACTGGATACTAACATTTATAGGTAAAGTTAATCCAGGGAATATCCAATTGCCTCTCGGGGGCTCAGGAAGGAATTTTTTTCCCCTGCAGGAGCAAGTTGAATCAGGCTTTGCTGGGGTTTTTTGCCTTCCTCTGGATCAATTATGGGTATAGGATTATAAAAAAAAATTTTTAATGGTTGAACTGGATGGACTTTTGTCTTTTTTCAGCCAGACTAACTATGTAACTGTGCATAGCAACCAGTCAGCTTTTATCATTCATTTTCAAAAATGCTATTCAATCACCCATGCTCAATTAACAGTGACAATCACCCACTAACTGCTGTGTAAAACAAGAAATTGTAAAATAATTGTATCCTTATAATGCACAGCTTTGTAATATAAGGATACATTCACTTTCAAAGTCTAACTGAACAAACCACAAATATAATCTGATTGGTTGCCATGTGCAGTTGCTCCAGATTTTGACTGCACTAGTTTTGATTAATTCAGCCCAGGTTTTGCTGGCATTTAAGAACATTTAATTGAAAGTCCAGTGCCTGTCACTCTTGAAAATGCCATGTCTCTGTGCATCTCTCCCACTGCATTGTAGTAACTGGGTAGCACATTATGTGACAGCAAAGCGCTGAAAGTGTGCATGGCGGAAGCTGAGCTGTTTAAGCTGGTTCAGACTTACAGTATTGTGAAAGGAAGTATCTATACATAGGAACATAAATTCAAAGTTTTTTGCAAATTAGAGGACTGGGGACTATATGCTGGCTGAGCATTTATTATCCTGGTCTTTATTGACTTTATTGTGTGTCCAGTTTCTAGAGGGGACCTGTTGTATCTTCTCCCTGTGTTGTTTGAGTTTCTCAAACTCTACTGGAAATGTAATCATTCAATTAAAGGCTTATTGTAAAGTACTTTAGAGTGTTAGCTCTTTAGAGAAAGCATTGCTATGAATGGTTCTATTTCTTCTACAAAACTGTGTGGAATTAGTTAAAGTGGTTGTAAACCTCAGATATGAAATATGAACAAAGCATATCCCTCTATAGTGTGTACTTGTCTCAATTAAGAGCACTAAGTGTCATTTCTGTGTGCTGCCTTGTTCCTCTGCTATCTGCATGAGTCACCTCTGACAAGTTTTCCTAACACCAAGAGAAAAAAGGTGACAGGGGAGAGACCTCCAGCACACAGCCTGTGTTTGGCAGCCTCATCTCTGTTCCTGTGTGTTGTGTGGAGGGGGTGTGTCCCTCCAATCAGCTCTCAGACCTCTCCTCGTTGAGCTCAGCAGTTTGTAATTTCAGGTTTTTGCTCCCTATTTTCTGAAAGCTCAGACAAGCTTTATACAATCTGCAAAACAGATGATGAGACAGGGATGTTTAATTCTTATCGTCTGACATCCAGGACATGCAGTTCCGGGCGCCGGCCAAGAAGTTTTGTTCTACATTTATCCCTGCTGTGGGCTACTCCAGCGCTGGTAGAAGCTCATTTGCAGGCAACGAAGCCTGGCTTTTAGTCAAGCAGCACAAACCCCTCACTGCTCAGGACATGACAGCAAAGGAGAGGGTGGGGGAGTGGTGTTTTCCTTCAGTGCGGTTGTGTTCTGAGCGAGAACTTGGACACCTGTCTCCGAGCAAACATCACTTTTTATCTCCTAATATATGGTATTACAGCCTGTCCTAGCCCAACACTCTACTGCAGCTTATAATCCACTGCAATGCAAAGCCAGCACTGTGATTTTTGTCTCTCTTTCCACAAGAAGTCCATACATACTTTCCTGGCTTCCTATTGGCTGTCAGTCTCGGGACATTGAGCCCCCTCCAGTCCATGCAGCATACTGCTCCTCTGCTGTTCCAGGAATGGGTGTGCTGCTGTACCCCACCTGTAATGGACATCTAGAATCTTCCTGACCAAGTGCACTGTGGTATGCAACACTCAGCATGTGCAGTACAGTCACGTAGGGCAGACTACACTCACACACAGCATCACCCCCCACCCCACATATCCCCAATGTTCCTCCTTTCCCCCCACTTATCCCCAATGTTCCTCCTTTCCCCCCGCTAATCCCAAATTTCCTCCTTTCCTCCACTTATCTCCATTGTTCCTCCTCTCCCCCCTCTAATCCCAAATGTCATCCTTTCCTCCATGTGTCCCCAATGTCCCCCCTATTCCCCCTCTTATCCCCAATGTTCCTCCTCTCCCCGCACTAATTCCCAAATGTCTTCCTCTCCTCCACTAATCCCCAATGTTCCTTCTCTCCCCCCACTAATCTCAAATGTCTTCCTCTTTTCCACGTATCCCCGATGTCCCTCTTTCCCCCCCCCCCCCCACTTATCCCCAATGTCCCCCCCCCCCATTAATCCCAAATATCCTTTTCTCCTCCACTTATCCCCAATATCCCTCCTATCCCGCTATTTATCCACAATGTTCCTTCTCTCCCCCAACTAATTCCAAATGTCCTCCTCTCCTCTACTAATCCCCAATGTTCCTCCTCTCCCTCCACTAATTTCCAATAATCCTCCTCTCCCCCCCCCCCACTAATCCAAAATGTCCTCCTTTCCTCCACATATCCCCAATGTCCCCCCTATTCTTCCTCTCTTCCACGTATCCCCAATGTCCCTCCTATCCCCCCCACTTATCCCCAATGTTCCTCCTCTCCCCCCACTAATCCCAAATATCTTCCTCTCCTCCACTAATCCCTAATGTTTCTCCTCTCCCTCCAGTAATCCCCAATGTTCCTCCTCTCCCCCCACTAATCCTAAAATGTCCTCCTCTCCTCCACATATCCCCAGTGTCTCCCCTATCCCCCTATTCATCCCCAATGTTCCTCCTCTCCCCCCACTAATCCCAAATGTCCTCCTCTCCTCCACATATCCCCAGTGTCTCCCCTATCCCCCTATTCATCCCCAATGTTCCTCCTCTCCGCCCATTAATCCCAAATGTCCTCCTCTCCTCCATTTATCCACAATGTCCCCCTATCCCCCTACTTATCCCCAATGTTCCTCCTCTTACCCCACTAATCCCAAATGTCCTCCACTAATCCCCAGTGTTCCTCCTCTCCCTCCACTAACCCCAATGTTCCTCCTCTCCCCCTACTAATCCCAAATGTCCTCCTCTCCTCCATGTATCCTTAATGTCTCCCCTATCCCCCTATTTATCCCCAATCTTCCTCCTTTCCGCCCATTAATCCCAAATGTCCTACTCTCCTCCACTTATCCCCAATGTCC